TATACAAGCTGTAGACTGCTTAGAGGCGTTGTCTCAGGGTGGCCTCTCTACTCTCTTCTTTTCCACCTTGTTTTCACTTTCTTTCAGCGCCGTTGAAGTGTTTTGGACTGGATAATTACAACGGACCCTGCCTTTCTCTCCTACCCCACATCACTTTTACCACTCAGTGTCCACAATCACCGTTCCAAAAAAAAAAAAAAAAGTCTTGCCTGGAGTTATTTTATTTAATTTATTTATGTAATACAGTGTAGAAAGCTATCATGGCATAAGCAATGATTCTGTACAATCATCCTGAAGAAAATTATTTTTGGAGAATTCTTGGTAATTTGAGACCAGCAGAACACTCCCTCCCCCCACCCGTAAAAGTGCTTACGATGAACAGGGATTTTTTCTTTTTATCAAAGATCCAAAGATACATGGACAACAACAACAAAAAAAGTTCAAATTCTCAATGCCTAATGTGTGCACATAAAACAGGCACAAAGAAATCAATGAGTATCCTCGTATCCTATGCCACAAAGAGAGCAGAAGCAGCAATCTGTACAGTAAAATGCAATCATGGAAAAGAAGTTTCTAAATCATTTGGAATACTTAAAAATGTTTAAAATGCATAGTGATCAGGGAAAGAATACTTAGACAAGAGAAGCAGCTAAACGCCCACGTTCACATGAAGCATCCCCCATCGATTTTTTTTTTTAAAGCATATTTCAAGTAGGAGTTAATTGGGTCACAAACCACAAGAATAATATACAGCGGGCTAAGGGGCTATGTATGTGATAAATAATCAGGAGAGAATCTATTCATGCACTAGTTTGATACAGCTAATTTTTTTTTCTTTTTACAGTACACAAAACCCATTAATAATGTAGTGTAGAGACCAGAATGTAAAGAGAGAAAGAGAATACATTACTGATTTGTATATTAGTTCAAGTTCAGGCATCTACTCGTGTTACAGCATGGCTGTCAAAAGGCGAAGATGAGTAAATAACAAAACGGAAGGGCTTGCTTCTTCCCACATTATTTTATAAATGAACACCGATGGGTAGTGGAGCAATGGTTTCGCTGTCCAAGTTCGGAGGCTGCTGCTGTGGCAGTGGTCTAGTTCTGCATCTGCTCAAAGAACTTGTAAGTTGGATTCTCATATCCATTCTGCTGCATCTTGGAGAGGTGGCGCTCCTCCGGGGTCACGGCAGCGTCAACCTTAGAAAGCAGGGACGAGACTCGAGTTTAAAATACACCAACACTTTAAGGGAGCATGGTACTACTACTAGGCAGTAAAAGGACACAGGGCGCAGTACTTTTGCCCAAAGTGCACGGCATCCACGGTTTTATCTTCTTCATCCCCCAACTTCTGACACGACACAGCAGAGCCAATGGCTTATGCCGATGCTGCATCCAGCCACTAGGTGGTGCTGAAAATCTTGATGTACTCAAGTTTGCACGGGGGCGCCCATTGGCTGAAACAAACAGCTAACACTGAAGATATGGGGTGGTAAGGGCACTGTGAGTGACAGTTAGATCTGTGCAAAATATACTACTCAGCTCTCTGGGGTTTCAAGTATCTTCTTATTTCAATGTGCCTTTATATTTGTAGAAATATTAAGGAGAGTTCTGAGAACCTATTATTAAAGTAATAACATGTATAAAAGGGGAGTATCATCTGACATGAAAAGGAAAGCTATGTAGAGACACGCTGACTTATATATTATATATTACATATTTTATATATGTCTGTCTGTCTAATATACTTACACATAGATAATTTGCAATACTGGGAGTTGGATTCAGGGCTAGAGCTGCACTCATAGCACAGACACACAGACACACAGACACACACGCCCCTGAACCCCAAGATACATAGGAACTACAGCCAGCTAAACCACCACAGGGAGTCCGTTCCTACTTCAGGGTTCACCTGTGAGATCAGGTCAGCATTATAAACACACGCTCCCTCAGTCATTGTCACGCAGAGCCATGCAGGCTGACAAGTCTCTGCAGACCGAGCAGGGCACTTATCTCTTTACGGTAGCTAATGGCTGTTCTTGTTTCTATATTTGCATGACCTCTCCAGTGAGAAGGGGAGGTGCTTGCTTAAGTCTGCCGAATTAATAAGAGCTCAGCATCTGCAAAACCACTGGAAGATGAAGAGAGTCTGTTCAGATGCACACAGAATAAAACATGACTTCCACGGAAAAGTTCAGGTGTATTCTACGGGCTGTACTTCAAAGGGATCTTTCTTATTCTGTTCAGGACTGAAATGACCTTGCAACCTCAGTCGGACCCCATTTCCCATTGCTGAGCATTGTTTTCTTCTCTGATACTGCCAATGTGGCCGTTCAGACCCCTGCATGGCTGTTTCACAGCAGTGGTGGCGTGGAAACTCTAATGCGGGGAGGAGGGAGGGGAAGCCAGAGCATATGGTGTCAGTGTTGAGCTACAAGGTGTATGGATGGACCTATATAGATAGGTCAGGACTAGTCCCACCTAAGAAGTAACTCAGAGGGAGAGCCTTGTAGATATGAATTCCTTCAAAGCCACTGTGTGACCTCCTCTCACAGAACCAGTGACTCTTTTTGGCCTGCGTATGAGACAGACTTCACCATGCAGTGGGAATAGGAGCTCTCTGGCCACAGGACAATTCCTTCGGCTGATTGTCCCCGACTCCTCCCATCTTCAGGAGGTGGTATCTGGATGGGGGATGGGAGCGGTTCCCATCTTCCCTCCTATGAGAGCTGCCTGCAGTCCTGTCCCCAGGTTATTCCAGTGATGGGTCTGGGCGTTCCTCCTGGAACAAGTGCTACCTAAGAGCCAGCACTCAGACAATCCTGATCAAATGGTTGCCCAGCATCACTGCCCTTTGGGACAAACACACAGGTGTTTTTCTCATCTCCTGTTTCCTGTGGTCTGTGCTGTTGTCAACAAATGAGGTCACCTTGATTTAATTGGCAATTGTCTAATTGGCCACAGGCTTGCAAGTTAAAACGCCTTCTCTCTACAGATTAACTTCCAAAGTGAGAACATTCAGTCATTCTCCCAGTCTGCTTGTTAGGGACCTGCCTGTATGTACCATTTGAACTTGGGCACCCCCTCCCACTCCTTGTGTTAACCCATAATTGAGATTCTAAATAAGGGAATTAAAAAAAAATCTTTCTTCAGAGATCAAACACGAAGCTGCTGCTTCTTCGTCTAGAAACAGCTGTGGGTTAGAATACATACCTGGAGGAGGAGCAGCAACCCTCACCCTACCTGTCAACAGTCATTTGCCTTTTCCAAAAGCAGCTTCCAACTCCAAACAAATGCTCAAGGGAACCCTACCAGAGACCAAGGCTCAGAGCTGGCTCAGTCCTGGCATCTCAATTCCCTGTCTTTTCCTGGTTTGTTTCACGGCTAATCCTCGATGCCCTTTGCTGCTGGGAAGCAGAAGTGTTCACAGATTCCTGCCAAGGGGCAGCTTGGCCCTCAGTGTTTACAGGACTCTGAGCTTCTGGAAAGGATTGCTTTTACAAATGGCACCTGAGGAGAGGAGTCTAAATGGCATCTTTTAATCCCCAATCCTCTTGGATGCTGGAAGTGAATATTCATGTCTGCAGAGAAACCTCCAGCTAAAGAAAGAGCAAGGGCGAACCTTCCTCATAGCAAGGGCCCTCAGTCCCCTCCTTATGGTCAAAGCTACCATGGGAACTGTGCCAAGCCCTCTATGACCGGGTGTGGCGTGGACATCCTAATACTATTTCCTTCAATGCTGAGCTGTGGCAGCTTGAGCCGGTGGTGGAGAGTTCTAGAAAAAATGATGGGACAGCATGGGATGGGGGACAGAATCTACTCTTCCAGGGGAAGGAACATCCCCTTGTTAGAGGGGAAAACTCAGGCATCCCATTAATGACTATGCTTTCCTCTGAAGTCTGGACTGAACAACAGAGGGACTGATCTGCAGTGGGCCGGGCTTTAGGTAGAGGACTCTGTCTTTAGGACACCCAAGCCTTCACACAGCACAGCATGTGACTTCAGTGGCCACTGGGGATGATGAACTGTAAACGGCTGAGGCTACTCAGCCTGGACATCTTCAAGAAGTAAAATGGAAGTGCTGAGGATTGAACCCAGGGCATGCCAGGCAAGCACTCCATTGCTGACCCAAACTTCCCTCCCCTCACAATCCCCGAGAGGACTCACATTCTTTCTTTCTTTTTCTTTTTCCAAGACAGGGCTTTCTCTGTGTAACAGCTCTGGCTGTCCTGGAACTCGCTTTGTAGACCAGGCTGTCTTTGAACTCACAGAGATCTGCCTGCCTCTTCCTCCTAAGAGCTGGGATTAAAGACGTGTGCCACCACACCTGGCTGAGGACTCTTACACTCTTGCCATGCCGCTTTCCTACTCTCTCCAATCCCTCCCAGTGCTGATTTTCTGCTCAACCCCGGGCATGCTCATTTTTGTAATTATGATTCCATCTCTGTGTAGGCACTTAGCTACATTCATAGCCAGTGTAGAGTGGCTCAGGACCTCCTTGCTTAGGCCCCCCCCTTTTTTTCTGGTTTTTCGAGACAGGTTTTTTCTGTGTAGTTTTGGTGCCTGTCCTGGATCTTGCTCTGTAGACCAAGGTAGCCTCGAACTCACAGAGATCCGCCTGGCTCTGCCTCCCGAGTGCTGGGATTAAAGGCGTGCACCACCACCACCACCACCACCACCACCACCCAGCTGCTTAGCGCTTTATAATCCTCTTGGATGCTTTCCTTTCCCTTCCAGTTCCTCCTCTTGCTGTTATCTGGAAGACATCCATAAACCAGAAGTTACTTCTTATCTAACCTTAAGTCTCTCTGACTGATCTGGCACACCAGGTTAGTGGCGACCTGTGCACCCATCTTCCCAGGAGGAAAGGACCTCTAAGGCCATGCTTTTATGATGTCATCAGTATGACAACACATTCCTCAAGAGAAAGGTCATATGCCATGATTCCATGAAAAGCTAAATAAACAATTTTCCTTTTTTGGGTCATTAAGGAAATAGCTGGGGGTCTGGAGGCAGAGAGAGTGCAGTGTCTTCATCAGAGCCTGGAAAGGCAGATTTCCTTTCCATCCTACAATAAAGAGACAGTGCGGCTTCATCTTATTGAAGGTGAAGTGTCTCTCTGGTGTACTGAAGATCTACAGTACATACAATGTTTTCAACATCTGGGTCAATGAACATCAGTGCGGAACCTTCTAAAACAGGAGCAGAGGTGGGTAACAGAGGTGGCACAAGGGTGCTCTGCCACTAGCAACAGACTGAAATTGCAGGCATATTCAGGAAGCAGTATACGAGAGGGTCATGACTAGTGTCAGCTACCAAATCAGGAAGCCTAGCTGGCAGAATGAATCTCTGGTGTCATGCTCAGCAAACCATTAAGTCAGTATTTATTTCTTATTTTTTAAAAAAACTAAAGCCAACTGCTCATTTCTGATGGCCATCTACTGTATCAATTAGAAACACTAGGCTTGTCTGCATGTCCACATTTCCCTCCATGATTTTCCCAGGCTTGTTATCTCTGTGACCCATGGGAGTCTTTCATTATAAGAACAAGAGCTACTCTGGAGACACATGCTCCCATCATGCCCTGGTGGTGTGAAATACAATGGTGTTGTCTTGAGTTACCAAGACACTGGATCCATTCATTACTCCCTTTTGTTCTTACTGAGGCAGGTCTACTCATTCATGAAGGACATCAGCCAGAGCTGGGAATAATGCTATTTCCACATGTAGGGTTCCTTCAGCATACACAGAAGATTGGCTCCAAAACCAAAGATGAAGGATGAAGATGGGAGATGAAGTTCACATCCTAATAAAGCAGGGTATTTGCATATAACCTACACATTCTCTTGTATTCTTCAAGCACCTCGAGATGACTGACTTATAATTCTGAATACAATCTAAATGCAAATAGTTGTTATAGCGATTATTTAGGGAATAAGCTATTTATGCTCAGATGCATTCTTTTCCCTAAATAATTTTGCTCTGTGATTGGCTCAACCTGCGGCTGTGGAGGCAGGAGAAGATCACAAACATCCCATAGCAGTGAGTGTGTCTCACTACTGACGCCCCAGACTGAGCAGCAGCTCTTGGTGGCCGAGTGCTACCACTTCAGCTAAATGACACCTCCCCAGAGGCAGGGGATGGGGACAACACTACCCATTAGTTCTGTTTCAACCCTCTGGTCAAATGCAGACTCAATACAGAGCTGGACATCTTCCGGACAAGATGCCCCATGTTGGACCGAAACACCAACTGAAGACCATTTAAACAGAATTCTACTAATGAAATTCAAAAGAGTTTTTGAATCATTCACATATGCAAATAGGGGACCAAAGTAACAAACTAGATTTCATTAGAAACAAGAGAAAGATGCATTGGAAATAATGTTTTACAGTGTTTGAATAACAAAAGCTTAGGTACACTATAGAAACAGCAAAACCCAAAGTTGGTATCTGTGTGTGCACGCGCACGTGTGTGTGTGTGTGTGTGTGTGTGTGTGTGTGTGTGTGTGTGGTGTGTGCGCGTGTGCACGTGCACATGTTGTTGTGTGTGTATATGTACGGAGGCCAGAGGTTTGGGTCAGGTATTTTCCTCAAGGCTCTCCACTGTATTTTTTGAGACCGGGTCTCTTGCTGAACCTGGAACTCGCTGATTCCAGCAATCCCTCAGGTTCATTCACTTTTCTCTGTCTCCCCAGGGCTGGTGTGGCTGTGTCTTTCTTTTCTTTCTTTCTTTTTTTTTTTATGTTATAGATCCAAAAACAGGTTCTTATATTTGTGAGGTAAACACTTTACTGCCTGGGTATGTCTCCAGACCCCGAGTTACTGCTTTTCTTGAAAACTGTGTATTCATCCTCTAGTTTGTGAAATCTTTCTTTCTCCTCTTGCTACCACAATTTCCCGAGTCTCATCCAAAACACTGGTCTTCAGTATATCCACATCAACAGAGACAGGAAGGTAAAACCCACAACACTCCCCATGAACAAGCTGTGGAGATGCCAAGGACCGATGAAAGTGAGATTTCTGGCTTCCCCTCACTTGAGTTCGTTAAACGATCCCACCCTCGAATAATTACCGATGGCTTGGAGTACTTTCTCTGGGATTAGCGAGACACCTACCACTGGCCTCTGATAGAAAGCAATGGGTGGTATGGGGGACAGGGACTATTTTAAGTTTGGCCCTGTGCAGATCTTTTTATTCGATTCACTTTTCTCTCATCTACAAAATAAGATCAGTTTGGCCACAAAGCTCTTTCAGTTTTAGGACACCTGCACTACTAACTCACTATCTAAAAGTTATACACACAGGGAGGCTTTAAGAGTTCTCCATCACCACAAGTGTACTTTAAATTCATAGAAAGATCTTATTTGTAAACTTCCCCCCTTTGTTCTTTCCCCCCACATCAGGAGTGGGAGGAGCCGCATTTGAAGCCTGGACTTTTTGATGACGTCACACTGACGTCTGTGCTAAGCATCCTTGGTTGGCTGTGCTGCGGACAGAAAGACTGTAAGTCTGGCACATTTGCAGTGTGGGGGTCCTCGTGTGTGCATTCTTTCCTGTTCCAATGCTTCTTCACTCGCACCGTGAAAGGAAGATTTTTGTTCAGATGGACGTTCAGGGCAACACTCTGAACATCAGTGGCAGTCATGCATGTCTTACTGAGCTATTTGCTGCAATGTCATTTCTAACAAGACATTAATAGTAAGAGTCATTACTGAAAATTAGTAATGACTAATTAGTAAAATTATAATTACCTGGTTCTACTCAGTGGCCAGATTACTTAAGGGCCCAAACAAAACAAACAAAAAACAGGAATGAATGTCTAGGTTTATTATTTTTTTTTTGAAAAAGCAAACACCCACCCATTTTAATTTCTGACTTCGGATACTGTTTTCATTATTTAAGGAAAAGTGTACTTTTCCCCCCCTCAAAGTTGAGCATTATAACTAATCTTATTTTGGTTAATTTCAATACAAATTATAAGTTAAAGTAACACCACAAAATGTTAGTGAGTGCCCATTAAATTCACAGTAACCTGGAATGGATGAAAAGCACAGTAAGAAAAGAGCTGTACCCTGAGCACCGTGGAGGGAATACTGTTTTTCTCCCAGGAGTTCCTTAGGCCGATGCTCAGGATGTTTCCCTGCCTGTACATCCTTCCTTTCACTCACCCTTGCAGACAAGCCTCCCAGTCTACCTACCTCCACCACGCCATGATGGATGGATGTGTACTGCTTCTTCTTCAGCATCACCAAGGTGATGACAATCACTGTTGCTATGACAACGCCGCCCACCATCAGTCCAATGATGGCACCTTTGTTTGAACCCACATCTTCTGCAAAGAACACCTTGAAAACAAGCCAAGGAAAAGGACTGTAAGTGCAGGAGACTTCGGAAGTAGAAGAGTTCCAGCGGACCCTCTGCCAGTGCTCAGTGAGTGTGAGTTGGCGGGTCCCTACCAGTGAGCATCCTACTCTCCAGAGCAATGAGCAAAACATGGCCTCCCAGGTTCTCAGAAGTCAATTTTACCAGTATGTCTCAAAACAGAAGACTGCAGGAACCTGACAACCTTTGACAGATAAGTATTTGGTAAAAACAAAACAGAACAAAACAAAACAAACCATAGAGGTGCCCATCATAGTTCTGGACACAGGTGAGCACTTTCCTGTCCATAGCAGGTGGCTCTGCCTTAGCCAGTTTTCAAACTTGTGTGTTTCCATTTCCTTGAAGAGACATGTTCTCTAGATATTAATAAACACCCTGGCCGGGCGTTGGTGGCGCACGCCTTTAATCCCAGCACTCGGGAGGCAGAGCCAGGCGGATCTCTGTGAGTTCGAGGCCAGCCTGGGCTACCAAGTGAGCT